GATTCAAACGCGAGTTTTGAGCAGTGTAGAGTAGCGCTTGTTGTTTGACGTTTCTCCGATCACAAATGCAGACATGGTTTTATGTTTACGCGGCATGAAGCAATCCGTAAAAATACAGTATAAGTCATTATAATCCATAATTATGTCCCCACTGGATGCAACAAATGCCTCGTTTATAATGGGTTTTCATGTTTTTGTCTCGTCGCTCCAGCTGGACAGGGCATCACCACAGTATGGTAAGGGGTGTAACATTTCCGTCACACGCTTGAGGTATTCGGCCAATCAGAGCACACCTCGCGTTTCAGAGCGATGAGCTTTGTAAAAATCGACATGTTTCAGAAAGGCGGGGCATAGAGGAGAAACAATAATGTACAGTATGTGGAAAATAATGTGTTTTTTGAACCTTAAACCACATAAACACATTTCATTACACCAAATACACAAAATAATGTTCTTTTTAGCAACGTCATATGACCCCTTTAATGAAGATGTCATTTATACTTAGGGGTCCAAAGTTTGGGGTCAGTAAGATTTTTTGGGGGGTTTTTGAAAGAAGTCACTTCTGCTCACCAAGACTGCATACATATGATCAAAAAGAATACTGCAAAAACAGTAATATTGTGAAATATTATTAAAATGTAAAATTTTCTATTTTTAGCAACGTCATATGACCCCTTTAATGAAGATGTCATTTATACTTAGGGGTCCAAAGTTTGGGGTCAGTAAGATTTTTTGGGGGGTTTTTGAAAGAAGTCACTTCTGCTCACCAAGACTGCATACATATGATCAAAAAGAATACTGCAAAAACAGTAATATTGTGAAATATTATTAAAATGTAAAATTTTCTATGTGAATATATTGTAAAATGTCATTTATTCCTTTGATGCAAAGCTGGTTTTTCAACATCGTTACTACAGTCTTCAGTGTCACATGATAATTTTGCTGCTCAACAAACATTTCTTATTATCATCAGTGTTGAAAACAGTTGTGCTGCTGAATATATTTTTGTGGAAACTGTGATACATTTGATTTTTCAGGGTTCTTTGATGAACAGAGAGTTCAAAAGAACAGCATTTATTTGAAATAGAAATATTTGGAACATTTATATCAATTGAATGCATCCTTGCTGAATAACAGTATTAATTTCCTTAAAAAATCTTACAGACCCTAAACTTTTGAAAGGTAGTGTACATGCTCGTTATTAGATTTGATGTATTCCTACTTGATATTATGATCATAAATACGTTTTATGGGCTGATGCTAGAAAGATGGCATATAAGGAAACCAGTTGCAATGCTTGCTTTTGTTTTAACTTTGTTCACTTGTCAAAAAGAAGCGACCAAAGCGCTTCTCAAGGAGGAAGTTGAAAAGGTTGGAAAAAAACACGAAAGCACTGCCAGGAAGATGTTTTACAGTATTATGTTGTGTTTTTGTTTTATTGACAATTTTTTGATTTATTTGATGTTTTTTTACAAATGAAATGAAATCCACATGTAAATGACATGCTAAATATAGGTACATGCTACATATATCACTGTGTACATTAATGGAAATTATACAAATGTGTTTTCAGGGCTCGCAACTTGTTTTTGTTAAAGCTGAATTCATGTCAGTCACCATAATTTAATTTCAAGATCACAATTATAACATTATGCTCAGAGCTGTTCATTGCTTGAAACTCAAATTTTTGCTCATATTACCAAAACAAATCCAAATACTTCATTACAGACTTCATAACTGCGCCTGATGCTGCCTGACTGCCTTTAACGGTTGAAGACGCTGCCGTTTAGGCTGTTTCTCCATAATATCACATCAAGCAAAAGATCTGAGCTTTCATATGATTCGGATTTTGCAAGTTTTAATTATGCTGTATCTGACATGATCTTGGCAAACGTCATACTGTTGTTTTTTTAACTAGTACTACTATGTTGTTGACAACCTTAAATCATGTTTGTTAGTTCTGCACTTTGACTCCTGAAAACAGAAATAAAAACAATGTGGATCAAATTGTAAAAAGGCTACCGTACAGTTAATATTCTCACATATTTAACATTGCTCATGAATTTCCAAGGCCTCTAAATCATCAACATGATCAACACTTTGTTGAACACTATCTATTACACGCCTTCTGTCTCTGATTGTGTAACGCTGCCGTTTAGGCTGTTTCTCCATAATATCACATCAAGCAAAAGATCTGAGCTTTCATATGATTCGGATTTTGCAAGTTTTAATTATGCTGTATCTGACATGATCTTGGCAAACGTCATACTGTTGTTTTTTTAACTAGTACTACTATGTTGTTGACAACCTTAAATCATGTTTGTTAGTTCTGCACTTTGACTCCTGAAAACAGAAATAAAAACAATGTGGATCAAATTGTAAAAAGGCTACCGTACAGTTAATATTCTCACATATTTAACATTGATCATGAATTTCCAAGGCCTCTAAATCATCAACATGACCAACACTTTGTTGAACACTATCTATTACACGCCTTCTGTCTCTGATTGTGTAACGCGGCTGGCGAGACGTGAGGATCCATCTGCAAGCTTTTATTAAAGAGACATGGTATAACAGGCTGGGTCGAACAATGACAAACAGGTATATGGCGGGCAAAAACACAAGAATAGTCCTAGGGCTAGCGTAGGTCACCGATCGGCAGACAGAATCACAGGGGCAAGACGAGAGGGAGAATTTCAGGAAAACAGGCAAAGATCAGAAACCACAAAAACAGGCAAAGGAAACCACGGAGACTCGGAAAGGGGTACAGGCTAAACAATACTCAGCCAAGAAAGGTGGTTAGAGTGGGTGCTATATAGTGAGTGAGGTGATTAGAAGCAGCTGTGTGCAATGAGTGCAATCAGTGCAGTGTGCAAATCGTGCAAAGAATGATGGGATATGTAGTCCGGGGTGCTATGCAACAGTTTGTGTTGTGCGAGAGTCAATGTAATGGAAAGGGTGACCTCTGGTGGTGAATGAACAGAAGTCCATGGACCGAATTCGTGACAGATTGATAGTTTAGACCTTTTTAGCAAAAGGCTTTTTAGTCTAACTGTACAAATGGTCCACCTTCAGCTCGTTGTTCACGTGTCTTTTTGCTGTCAAATCTTAACTCATTTTAAAAAGTAAACGTAAGAATAACTTTCATATTGTTAGCAAAATTTCAAGACGAACACTTACAGGACTAAAGCAACTTAGGTTTGCTTGATTATCATTTATTAGAAAAATCATGTTAAAATATGAGTTAAATATGATCATCAGGCTTTTGAGGAACATTCATTTGTTCATCTCTCTATCATCATTGTACTGCATTGCATTATGTTTTGATCATAAATCTAAGCATTTAAATCTCATCTTATTAGACAAAGAGATATAGAGCGACAACTGATATTTATATCATTTTATAAAGATCTCATTCATTTACATTACAAGCTATCAGAATTTCATATTACTTTCTGACATAAATGTCAGCATTGGCACCAAATTGGGCATTTTTGCTCATTATGGGACTCTAAATCTGAGCTGTTTTTCTTCCATAGTCACACTATTTCATACTATGAAGGGCCATAAAAACCTAATGTATCAAATAAGATACAAAACATAAACATATATTCCAATATAATTTGTCTAATGGTTCAATAACTGTTCCAAAAATTTATTTTTCCATTTCCAAAATGGTCAATCATATTAGCAACTGAAAAGCTGCTTATTTGCATCCTGCATGATAATACAAGTTAATAAAATATAGTACAGTAATAATTAAAAGTTTGAGGTGAGACTGTGTTGATGTCCACATCTTCCTCTCTGAGACGAAATTAACCAGGCGTACAGTCAGATATATGTGATGATGATTTCCACTCTCACAGGAAGTGCCTTACTCCTACTTTT